TATAATTATATATATATATATATATATATATATATATATATATATATATATATATATATATATACTGAGAAATTGGGATAACAATTGAAGTAAATTGGTCTTTCACAAACGCTAAATTCTATAATTCCTAATAAGGAATCAGAAAATTTTATGTGTCTAATGTCTCTTAAGCAGAGAAGGACTGAATTATTTAGTCCGGTTCGGGTTAAGGGCTTAACAGCTTGCACTAATCCTATATGCAAATAGTTGTAACCTTTCTTTTTATGCTCCTCTAATATGTCTTTAGATAGAAGGGAAAAAGTGTCATGTGATTTAATGATAGAAATTGTTTTTCAATTGTTTTTATGGCATAATCACTTTTGAAATGAAATGATCCTTTTCTATATACTTCACAAAATGGGACTTTAGGAATGTGCCAGTTTTGTATACTTTTTTCTATATTGGAAATAACAATTTCTTCAGTATTCTTTATAACTGATCTCGACCTTTTAAAAGTTCTAGCATTAAACCTTAAAACGCAAGGGTTTGATATGGAATTCAATTCGCAAAACATTGCTATAATCTACCACATTTGTTATAAGGTTATGAATATTATTTGCCTTAATGTAAAAAAAATGGATAAAAGAAGCCAAACTATATATTTTCAAACTAATGTTGAAAAATCAAATTTAATTGTTCCTAAGACAATAACTTGGAACAAAGTCAATTTACTAATACAATGGAATTTACAAAAATGAAACTCCTTCTTGACCTGTGCAAAATTCTAATGTCAACTCTATAGTTTAATTCCCTAATGGGGAAGTCCAAATTCAATTCAATCCTCATAGGAGTGCTAGAATTCATTTAGCATCACAAAGGTCTAGAATTCTTGCTAGAAGTTCTACCTCCTCCATTCCAAATACGGAATATGAGCATTCACATATGTGTGCTATGTTGAAAGAATTAAAAAGAGTGGGTGAAATACAACAACCCATTTATAACATTGAAACTCCAAAGACTGAAAATTCCAGACCAACTTCACAAGGACCACCTTTTCTGATGTAGAATATGATCCTCAAATTAATGTCATAGAGATTAACACATTTCAAATTAATTATGAAAAAATTGAAGTTGATTTTAGTGTTGATCATAATAAAGATGTCAGAGACTGGTTTCTAAATAAAGGGATTGAAAGATCGAGACAATATATCAAAGAAAAATATATGGAGGCTATGAATAAAGCTAAAGGAAATATGTTATTTTTTAGATGGTTTGGAGAAATTTTTGTTAAACAACATAAACTAACATTTCTATTTGAATATATAAAAAAAATATCTATTAGAAAAACTCCCGACATCAACACATTAGACTCTCAATATAATTATTATAAAACCTCTAAAGGAGAAATAAAATCTAGTCATCCTTCAGGAGATATTATAGTAGATGTTAAGGGAGCCACTGTTGTCCCATATAAAAGAACTAATAATTCTAATATGGAAGGATTTAAAACAATTATAGAACATAATAATTATACTAATCTCTATCTCAAATCCATAGGAGAGCAAGCAAATAGAATAGAGGATTTAGTCTCTAAAAAAGATACTCTGGAAGATACACCTTCATCTTCAAAAGAGATACTATCTTCCATAAAAACTACTGCTCCCTTAGTTTTTAAACCCTCAATTGAATTACCTAAAAACATGTTTAGATTATAGCCTATAAGCTCGAAATTCCTAGATGAAGTTATATCTAAATTAGGGAATCTAAAAATAAATGAAAAAGGAAAATCCTATGATAAAATTCAAGGAATCTCCAACAATATGATTGAAGATAGTACTGATGATTGTTCTGAACATGATATAGACATTTTGGAGAAAATATTTAAATAATCAATTAACACTAAGTCTGATGAAATAAATAAAGTAGGATATGGGATTAAAACCAGACTAACAGCTCCTACAAAAATGTATTATCCGAAACCCTCTCCTATTGACATCCAACACGAAAAAGACATCCTTATGGGATTTGCCAGATATGATGGTAAACCAATTGTAGAATAGAACTTAGATACTCTCAGTGAGTACCAGACTCTTACCCTGCTTAGACATATGATGATGTATGCTACCGCTAGTATCAATAATGGAAACCAGGACCCGGATGTGGCCTAGGCAATTATAGTAAGATTTACAGGACAACTTAGAGGCTAGTGGGATAATTATCTCACTGAGACAAAAGAATTATATTCTAATTGCTAAAAAGCAATATACGAGAACCAGAACAATATAGCCAGATCAAATACAGACGGTACATATTACTGAAGATGAATGTGTGAATACTCTGATATATACGATTGCCCTTCATTTTATAAGGAATACTAGTATACTGACTCAAAGACAGTCATATTACTTACAAAATCCCAGATGTCCTACCCTTCTCTATTACAAATGGTATAAGGATACCTTTACATCCAGACTTCCTACAGTTGAAGACTGTAGAGCTAGTTATTGGAAAGGACATTCATTGCTGGACTTCCCAGATTATTTGTGGAAAATGTCAAGAATAAGCTAAAAGCTAAAAACAATGGTGAGTTGAATTATGATTTTTTTACTCTAAGAGAATTGTCTGCTGAAGTTTGTGCCCCAGGCCCAGAAATATGCACAAACCTAAAACTAAGAAAACAATTAGAAAAACAAAACCTGACAAGAAGAAAAGAGTTAGGTAATTTTTGTGAACAATTTGGTTTTGAATCTATAAAGACAAAACCCCACAAATATCAAATTGATAAGAAATGATTTGTTAAAGCATACAGAAAAAAATCTAAAAGATTTAGAAAGATAAGAAAAGGGTTGGTACTGAGGAAGATAATAAAGAAAATCTTCTAAAAGAAAACCGATCATCATTAGAAAATATGGTAAATTTCGACATCTTGCTATTAAATGTAGAACCAAAAGAAAGATAAATACCTTAAATATTGATGAGGGCCTTAAAAGGCAACTCTGTCAGGTTCTATTTACTTCTGATGACGATTCAGACTCTGAAGAATCTATTAATATTATTGAAGATTCTGACTCCTCTACAAAGAAAGAATTAGGCAATAATTCTGATTGCCAATGCGATTATTATAAATCAATGTCTTATGATTGGATTAGAAATTAATACTTTAACCCAAGAAGAAAATCTCATCTTGAATATTATAGACAAAATTGAGAATCCCGTTGATAGAAGAGAAGTTTTACTTACTTATATTTCTAAGTTAAAACCTAATGAAGAATTCTC